TTAGTTATTTTGTTATTTTTGCATTTAGTACCTAATTTGTAGTATACAGGGTGTCCGGAAAATTGCCTACAATAGTTTGGGAAGAAGTGATTTGGGAAAAAGAAGAAAAAACTATTTAAACTAGGGATCCATCGGATCGTAAAAATACCGGATACTGTATCGGATATCCGGACAGAATGTAACATCAGATATCCGGTATCTGCTCTGCAGTAGTGAATTTTGAAATTCAATTGTATAGTTTGACTTTCCTTTGTTGCATGGATGTATAATGCACTTATTTTCATTTAAAATTATTTACACATAAGTTATTCTTAGGGAAATATTCTTTAATTTTTGTTTCCATTAGAGGAACAGATGCATATTTGTTTGTAGCTTACCATATGTAAAATCAGTGCTGAACATTATACGATTTATTTTGTATACAGTAGAGAAAAGCCGGGCTAGTTATGACACTTTTTCTTTAAATTATTATATAAATTATTATATATAAATCTTTACACAATTACGATACATAATTATGATAGTCTAATGATAAATACTTTAAAACGTTGCATCTGGCTTAATGATTAAGTATTTATAAATCCTTAATGTATCTTGTAAATAAAAAAAAATTACGTTAATTACAAGGTGCAAAGTGAATCAATATGCTCTACCTATGGATGATGTTGACCATCCTCAAAAGATTAGTTGAGGCATGAAGATAATCGTTTAATGAGATTATATATTATTTAAAACATGAAAAAAAAAAGAATTATGTGTATATTAATCAAATTTTTATTATTCTCATCTTAAGTATAATAATTTGGAATTTGTACGTACTAAATTGAAACTTACAAACAAATAGAATAATTAGAAGGATAACATTTGCTGGAATTAGACTTACATATAATTAAAACTGACTTTGAAATTAGGATTTCATTAAGAAATAGATTTGTATATACTATAACGCAGTATCAATTATTCTTTTTTCAGAAGATCATAGGTTATTTCACACTCACGATCAGGAGAGTAGAAATTATAAATATCATCTGATGATTGATCAAATAATACTTGACGTTCTTCCATTTCGGGAAGTACTTCTTTAACGGGAACTTCTTCTCTCACTGGAAGTTCTTCTCTAGCGGGAAGTTCTTCTCTACCGGCAACTTCTTCTGTATCGTATAACTCTAATTCGGCGGGAAGTTCTTTTGCTATATTATCAATATTTTCAATATTTTCAAGAGGACTATTCGTAACATATTCTGAAGTCTTCGTTGCGGATCTGTATATATATTGTGATAAAAAAATTAAAGTTATAAAATGTAAATGTGTTGAACTGCACCGTTATTATTTGATATGCAAATCAGTGAGCGTTATTTGACTTACTTGTTTATTCTATACTTTTACTTATTATATTGTTTGCATTATATTTGATTCAAAAGACGAATAATGTTGTGCGTAATATCGCACATGTTACATTTTGATGTATAAATACACATTCAGTTAAATAAAGAAATATATTTTTTTAATTAAACCATCCATACTATGCATCTGTAACGTTTTCTCACATTCTTCCCTTAGATTTGTCGCGGTCAGTGTTGAGAAGCTAACTGATAAATGAGAAAGGCTGAATTTTCAGCGAGAGAGCCAAACATACGATTTTTCACAAATTCGCATTAAATAAAATCGTCTTCCAGGATTGACTATTACATCATATTGAATGTAAATCTAAGACTGAAAAACGCGTTACTTAATATATCGATACCATTACCTAAATCGGTAATAAAATCATAATAGTTCTAATTTTCGTATTTTATAGCTATTACTGCAACGTAGTTGCAGTATATTTTTCGGTACGATAACTAATTTAACAATTATTTTAGTCGCTATTTGCATTTTGAATTCATTTGTGAAATAATTTATAATGTCTTCGATTTTCATTTTTTGACTAATATTTATAATTCTATTGTTATATATTTAAGATGATTAATTTTTCTATTTAATCCATTAGATTTCAAAACATCCTTATGTGCATTTTCATTTTAAATTTTTACCACACGATTCACAATCAAAATTTTTAGACTATAATAGTATTAATTAAAATAACAAAAGTCCTTTCAAAAATCAAAAGATGAGACATCCGAAGAAAAAGATTAACGGTAAAGATAAAATAAAAAAGAAGTAATTGAATCTTACCTTTTTAATGATACACACAAATATTCAATATACAATAATAAATTATTTTATCTATCTTATGATTTTCTTCTCTTTAGAAGAATAAAGTAATCTAATTATTATTTTAGTGATCGACAAGTATAATAAAAATCAGTATCACACCGTATCAGTAGTAAGTATCAGGCTGGTCTTTGCCCTGATGTAAACAGCAAAATTCATGAAACGTTGGCATTTTAAGAATGGATCTGGACACGGAGAAAACCTGTCAAACACATAATCTTTACATAGAAAATACCCGTAGAAATCTCAGGAATATTATAATAAAAATTATGGATTCAGGAGATCGGATGTGTAAAAGGAAACACAAACAATAATACATTAGAATATAGGCTTTCTTTCATTTAATTAGAAATATTTGAAAGTAGGAGTACATAACAATTAGAAAAAAATATTTTTTGATATATTTCATGATATGAACGTTTTTATTCTTTGTCCGTATCTAAGTTTGAATAAACAGTTTTGCTAGTCTCAGTCTTTAACCATCTTCAAGTACCATAAAAAGATTTCGTCATATTATCTGACTTTCCTTGATAAATCATATCATTTTTTACAGTATTTTTAAAATTGTGCAAATATAAATAATGCTAGTAATACTAAAATTGTGCAATAGTAGTTAATGTTTTAGTTACCAATGGTACCTGATGAATGTTAATAACATATAAAAATAAATACAATAGAGAAAGTAATTGGTATATAAAAATTATCTCTAAATTTTTGGATTGGAATCTAACTGTAAAGAATGAAAATTGAGTGAGTTAAAAAAGAGTGTCACAATTTTTAATTCTTAAAAGTGAGACTTCACTCTTTACATTAAGAATTTACTCTAAAAGATTTATAAAGTATGTAAACGGATGAAAAATACATTACGTTACAATAAAAAATACAGTACATTGAAATGATGAAATATTAATTTTGGTTACGTATAAAATGATTTCATTTAAATTTAATTAAATTTAAATTGAAAATTTCAAATATAATTGATTATGTGATATGTTTCTAAACATACAACAGGCTGTCAAAAAGTAATGGGTTGTTCGACTGTCAATCAAAGATGTTTATTTTATTAGGTCGTTTAATTAGCTGCATTTGTCGTGATATTTCTTATATAAAACTACATCATATTTACATTATTTTTATTTTTTTCTCCATTACTTTAATTCCTTTCAGCGTTAAATAACCATCTTGTCTATTTTATATGTATCCTAGTGTCTTTATTTTATATTATTCGCAAAAGGTAAATAACGTAAAAGTAAGGTAAAATTTATAGTGATACATAAAATGTCATTGTTCAAATTGATACATGGAATTTCTTATTTTTTTTCAGCATATTAAAAATAGATAAGTTTTTATTCTTAATATTAAATAAGTCCAAAAGAATTTCTGAAAATTGCTTATTTTTGAAAATAACCTATATGAAAATGATGATATAAAAATAAATTAATGATACTAATTAAAAATTACAAAGAGAAAAAAATTACCTCTTTAACCGTGAATAAATAACCAGAAGTGACATTTAGTTACAAACAAATCACTTAATATCAACACATATTGGCACAGATATTATGAATAATCATTATTGAAAATTTATATAAATAATAATTAAATACTTAAAGCGTACAACATAATTAATACAGCTTTAAGTGTTTATGTACCTGGATATATTTGTCTTATAGTTGTATTAAAAAGGAGGTTAACAATTAATTAAATTTAATTATCACTTGGTATTCGATTCAGGTGTAATGGTTCATTTAACGTATGTGTTTTTATTAGTGATGTTGTTAATTTTTATATCTTGAACTTAAACTTATATTTTGTTTTTGTTACGTAGACCAAAATTATATTTTATACGTTTATACATTCAATATCTCTTAAAAGGATCCTAAAACCGATTAATCGTAATGTAAGTAGGATTTATATACAAACGATTTATGTATCATTGATGCATCTGTATGTACAGAATAGCATGTAGTACATAGATACATATCTTATGCACATAGAAAAACTAATTTCAATTATGACATATTATTAATTATACGTAAAAATCCAATTTTAAGAGCTCCACATTGTATCTTCGTGACAAATAGTACTCTGCAGATCACAGTTCTGTAAGTACAAATGGCATAGCTTTTATCTGAAGCTGATATAGCAGCTATAGATCGCCATACTAATAAATAGTAAATTGTTATAAATAAGAAATTGTAAAAAATACCACAATTTTTTAACTTGTATGTTCTGGGCATGAAAACTCTTTAAAACTCAAGCACACACAAGTATTAATACATATAGATTAGTTGTGACAAAAAATTCTCAAATCTATAAAAAAGAAAAGTAATTGTCATACGAGATTTGTGGTATTATTAACGGCTATTGGATCCTTAAGAGGCGGATCTTAAATGGTCTTCTGTTTATCGGTTGAACGTAATAATTTTCTTAGAAGGACATCGTACAATACAATAACTTTTATAGCATTTGAGAATCCTCTAAAATTAAAGTATATGTATTATTATGTGTCTGCAACTTGAAGTTTATGTCACGAACAACAATTTTTTAAATTGTTATGCTATTTAAACATTTTTTAAATCTGAGTAACGTCTAGACTTTTCTAGTTTGTCGCAATATTTGTTTGATACAAAATTTGTGGAATTTGTACGTACAAAATTGAAAGTTACAAACTAATAAAGTAATTAGAAGAATAACGTTGTTGAAATTAGAATTACATGTAATTAAAACGATATCGCTTTACAAAAATTTATGTAGATATGTGCGTACGGCACTGAATTGCAGTATATAAGAATTAGTCAATGCGTCATATTTTATCAGTAAAATAGCAATTTCCTTCAGAGTTCGTTTTTTGAAATTAAGATCTCATTAAGAAATAGATTTGTATATACTATAACGCAGTATCAATTATTCTTTTTCTGGAAGATCATAGGTAATTTGGCCCTCAGGATCAAGAGAGTAATTATGAATGTCAGATGATTGTTGGTCAAGTGATTCTAGAAGTTCTCCTGTTTCGCAAGTTCTTTTCAAATCAAATATTCTTCTCCAAAGGAGGAAAGTTCTTCTCTATCGGCAACTTCTTCTGTATCGGATAACGGCTTTAATTCGGCGGGAAGTTTTATATTATCTATAGTTATATCAATATTTTCAAGAGGACTCGCAACATATTCTGATGTTTCTGAAGTCTTCGTTGCGGATCTGTATATATATATTGTGATAAAAAAATTAAAGAGTTATAAAATGTAATATATTTAATAATTATATTACTTGATAATTACATAAAAAACCTCATCTCTTCAATCTAAATATACGCTTAGAATAGCAAAATTCTGTAGTAACTTATGAATTGTTAAATTAAATACTTATATTTGTGGCTTTGTATACATGAAAGTATAAAAATGTCCCAAATTTATTGTTAGGATATATGTTATTATAATAATTAAAAAGGAAAAAGGGATACGAGCTTAAAAACAATCAACATAAAATGACAAACTGTATAAATAGTTAAAAAATTAAATAAAACATGTCATGAAATTAAAAAGGTTAAATTATAATTTGACAATCAAATTATAATTTGAACAAAACAAACGTTTCAATCCTTGTTGAATCATTTTCAATGTGACAAATAAATTAATAATAGAAATGTAACATAGATAAAATATAAGAAATTAAATAAAATTCGCATGTTTAAACAAGCACATAAGAAATAATAATGACGATAGAAAAAGAGTAAAATGCCGGCATTCATTGTATATATACATACACATATATATATTAGGTGTTGGAATTAATTCGTAGCGTTTTACAAGTGATGGGAAGTACTTTCATTAATGTATTTTTTAATGCTCATGTGAAATAAATAACATTCTTTCATTAAAAAACGCTACGAATTAATTCCAACACCTAATATATATATGTGTATGTATATATACAATGAATGCCGGCATTTTACTCTTTTTCTATCGTCATTATTATTTCTTATGTGCTTGTTTAAACATGCGAATTTTATTTAATTTCTTATATTTTATCTATGTTACATTTCTATTATTAATTTATTTGTCATTGAAAATGATCCAACAAGTATGTTTTATCTACGTTACATTTCTATTATTAATTTATTTGTCATTGAAAATCCAACAAGGATCGGAACGTATGTTATGTTCACCTTCTGATTGTCAAATTATAATTTACCTTTTTAATTTCATGTCATGTTTTATTTTATTTTTTAACTATTTAAACAGTTTGTCATTTTATGTTGATTGTTTTTAGGCACGTAGTCCTTTTTCCTTTTTAATAATTATAATTTATTAAGCCTTATTATTTTTATAATTTAATATGATATTATGTTATATGCGAAATAAAGGTACAATGGTACATAAAGAGAATTTTTTGGGGAATTTATCTTATATATATGACAGTCTTCGAATAACTTCGTATTTCGAAAAGCTTTATGTTAATCTCTGTCTCATTCTCTAATAAAACTATGAATAAAATATAAAATGAATGTAATTAATTTTACTGAAGTGCAGGGTATAAATCTTTGAAACATTGCATTGTATTTTAAATATTTAAAACAATGTACCACAACTATCATTTTTTCGGAATAAATTTTAAGACTGAATTCGTTCTTGAAGGCACATTTAATCATAAAATATATGTGTATGCATAAATATAAACTTCATTTCCTAAAATATTATAAACAAGAAAAAAACAAGTTAAATATATATGTCAATTCCTCAAAAATTAAACTATATCTAAATTAATAGCATAAAATCATAAAAATAAGCTTAATGAAAGCAATTTACCAAAGCGAGTGCATTACGCATTGCATGCAATAATGAATTTAAATTAATTTAAAGTGAATACTTACTCGTTAGGAACACATATTCTATCCGTGTCATCGGTCAAATTAGAAGCCATTGGTATTGAAGCTTCCTGATATTCCGCATCCTCCACAATCATACTGCCGCTTGCACTGGCACTTGTGCCATACCTATAAGTATCTTCGTAAATAACTTCGTCTGGATCGAAGATTTTATTTCTATATAAGGAGTAACAATAAAAGTAAGAAACACGATAATTGTGCATAGAACTCCGTGAAAGAATTCCTACATTATTTCTCTTAATTCTTAAAAATATACTTATTGTATACTTACTTCTTCCTGTGTACTTTAAGATGAATCCCTAATCTATGGGCATCATAAGCTGGAAATATTTTTTTACACATATTGCACTTTGCATCGCCATCTGATGTTAGAGTAAAATAATCCCATGCCCAATGAATGTTATGTTCTGTCTTCTGTTCTTCTGTTAATACTTCCGGATGGTGCATGGTCAAGTGCTTGTGTAATGAAGAATAGTTTGTTCCATAATTTATTACTGACAAACAATATTTGCAAATTGCCAAATAATCCGATTTTGATGGTTTGTAATGTTTACGCAGATATTGACGAACTCGGACCTTGAATACTCGGATCTTGTTGCCTCTTAATTGCTGGTCTGCCATTATAATTGCGCGTTTTGTATTGCGGAATTTTAAAGCATTTAATCGGACTTAATCACTGAAGGTATAGAAACGATATGAGGAAGAATAAACTGCAGAAGGTCGAAAACAGAAGTATCATTCTTTCACAGAATATAAATATTGGTATGTTTAGTTTGAATATGTCTCTTCAGTGCTGTGTTTTTGTCTCGTTTCGGATTCTACGAAATCTTAGCGGGTCGAGGGATGTGGAATGTCTGGCTCCGTTTTGTGTTAATATTTCTGTTACACGCGCGTAAGGTGAGAGGGGATATGAAAATCAGGACCAAGCGATATTTCTTTGGTGAGGAATCGCTTTTGTGCGACAGAGAATGCTCGCGGAAATATAAGAAGAAATGAAAATAAAGATTGGGCGAGTTCAAGACAGCAAAGCGGCTAGTCATGCTTACCGAACGATTGTATATGATTGTTTAAATCTATAAGTAACAACCAATTATGTTCATTTGCTCGGCGAGCAGGCTAGCCGGTTTGTCATCTTGAACGCGCTCAATAACTGTGTTCAGCAGAACGTTTATTGTGCAATTATTCGAAATTTTCTTCGCGCTGATTGGATTATATTTTTAGATCTAAAAGAATAATCCTATTTCAGCAAATAATCATAAAATTCAATACATATAAGAATGAAGCTGAGAGCCAATATAATGTATCTGTTAGAGTATTCAAGACAATATCTTTGTTATATTTTGCTATTAAGTTTTGTCAGCGATTTTTCTACGTTTGTTTATAATTTTTATCTTGAATATTGTAACAGATATAATATATTGGCTCTTAGCTCTTTTCTTATATGTATTCAATATTAATCATTCGAGCCGTTTTCTTATAGTTTTGATCATGAAACTGTTGTGTTGTGCTGAACTCAGCCACTGTATGGTTCGACACGATTGAGGAGCCTTTATTGCGATAACATGATAGCAAAAACGCTATGTCTATTCGATTTGCTTACACTTTCAACATCTCCACTTTCTCTCTTTTCAGCGTCAAATATATATCTATCTCATTTTAAGTGTAAAAAGTGTAAAAAAGTGTGAACAATTCGAACAGACTAATTGAGAATTTCTAGCTTGTGAAAAGTTGATACATTGAACCCTGCAGAGCGGCCGATGGCAGTCGACATTATGAATGCAATTTGGGTCTTAGCAAATTGGAAATTTTATAGGCAGTGCACACGATTTTGTGATTCTCTTGTACGTTATTAGACAAGTTATACAAAGACATTCGAACGCTCATCATTGCCTCATGTCTGAACATGTCGGAAAAACTTGCTCGTGGGAGTGGAATATTTGACTAACAAAAAGGGGGAAGTTCAAAATGACTACCTTGTTCTTATTTATTATTTATTTTGTGCTTTTTATTATGTCCCTTTTTTTACATTTGCGAATTGCATCGATTTATCTAACAGTCGATAAGGTATCATTTTGGTCGTAATTTGTAATAATTGATCAATTTCATTCGAATATTCCCCTCTCATTCAATTGTAAGACAGTAATGCTCGACTATGATTAATGTGTCAGACAACGGCATACGGAACACGAATGAAGAATAACGATTTTAATTAATCAAAAATTAAATACATAAAAATTCACGATTTCTGACAAGTTGATGTCATTATTTTTTATTTCGTATTCCTAATTCCGTATTCCTGCTATTGTGGGTAGCCTCTTACGACCAGTCTAAATGATTCCTGAAAATTAAATTTCTATTTTACATACAGTTATACTGCCATTTCAAATATCGGTCGATATCCAGGCATAATATGTTAGAAAGTTCACAATTGATTTTTAATCCAATTTTTAGATTCCTTTAATATGAATTTCCATACTGAGTAAAATTTTAAGTATGGAATGCTCTATGATTCTACACCACAGTTGCCGGGCTTGTGTCTAAATCATTTGTTAGAACGGGTGAGAACCGCGATACGGATTTTCTGGAGCATATGATAACAGCTAACTCGCGATTATGGCCGTTTTCAGCTTACTCTCTGATTTAGCAAACTTTTCATTATGGAGTATATAATATATTTATAGAGTGTATAATATAGTTCTAATATTGTATATAATATAGTTTATAATATATTAGGTGTACAAATAAGTTTCCGCCGTTTGACGAAAGACAGCGCCACTAGCAAGTTATGGTTAAAATTGTCTGATGTAAAAAATTATATCGTAAGGTTGGACATCTGTCAACAACATAACCTTGGAATACTGGAGAGAGAGAGAGAGAGAGAGAGAGAGAGAGAGAGAGAGAGAGAGAGAGAGAGAGAGAGAGAGAGAGAGAGAGAGAGAGCGAGAGACGGAGAACCACTGATGAACTAGATTCGCAATAATAAGAACACAATTCGTGTGCTATTGATATTAAATTTAAAGTGTAGTTCACCAGAGCGAAATAATACACTTACATATTTTTTTTTGGTTGTACTCTCGCTGTTTTTATTATTCGTTATCGAAATGGTTTTGTGATTTCTTTCACATCCGTTTATCCTACGATGTTTGACTACATCTCCGGGATTCCTACGAGTTCGAGAATCGCCGACTGACTAGCTTCAGTAACAGATAATTAGACATCGCTATGTGGGAATGACGAAGAATCGGTGCATGGGCTCTGCGTAGACGCACACCCGTGAGGTACCATTATTTCACTGCTGGGATGTTCGAATAATTGAACGTTGGCCGATACGTGGCAGCGAGTTGTATCGTATAACGGTTATTCACATGCTGCGAATCGTATCCTGCGGAAACGCCGAGTGCTTATATCAACCTGCGAGGCAGCACGATGTCTATTTCAACCCGCCAATCTTCCTCTCTTGTCTATATATACTTCTTTTCTCTTTTCATGTTTTCTTTCACTGTAATCATTGCAATATACAATGTATCCTACAAGTATATTGAGTAATCTTTTTAGCTTAAAACTTTAAATTTTATATCTATTTAACTAGCTTTTAAAAATTTTGGACGATTTTCTTTTGTGTTCAGCAGTTTTTCTATTCTTGACGCGAGACATTGAGAAAGTTATGTTTTGAATGAATTTGAGCGAAGTCTGTTTAAAAGTAAAATAAGATATTGTTATTTATTTGCACTTTCGAGACATAATTCGCTTGCAGCCTACATTTATCAACATTGAATAGTTGCGTATTAATGCTTCGCTTTTGAAACAACCGTCATCCTTTTCGTTTGTTCTTCAGTATCTATGATTGAAAGGCCACATCCGGCCAATCTGGGACGGCTTGTATCGCGCTCATGTATTCATCTCCTCCCGCTTCTTTGCTGCAGTTCGGCTCATAGTAGACTATCGATAATCGAGATGTATCCGTAAAGCAAATAGCTGTTTTCTCAAGTGCCGATATCGGCTCGCCATTTTCGAAAGTGTACTCTTCGCGGTGTACAAGAGATCGTGACCACGCATGCTTGTCAACGCGTTGAGCACGTGTGTACGTTGAAGCGAGCGATCGCCGTAAAGATGGAATCAAGCAACCTGCATACGATCGATGTGTTAATTACGCGGCGAAATCGGTGACAGGAATTATTTTTAATCAAAGGAGGTCAATCGTCGAAGACAAATCTCCGATTCGTAAATATTGTCCATGGGGCACACCGAACGACGAACGATGATGACGATCCCATGTCTGGAAGGAATTATAGAGAGAGGTGTGCACGAGAAACGACGCGCGTTCTCCATAAGCGTGTGTGTTATACGCGTTTGCGATATAAGTGTGCGCAAATCGAAAGCACGCGGGCAATAGTATTCAGAACCAAAGTATTCGGGGGCTAAAGTGGATGGGTATACGTGATCGGAGTATCGATAGCGAGAGCAGACTTACGGCGAGAACCGCGCGCGAATCGCCTCTGCCGCAATAAACGCGCCAATATATATGCCCGGGGCCGAAACGTGGCGCTGATACCAGCCCAGTCTTTATTTAATTAATGTAATCGATACGACTGTGTAAATGCGAACGCTTGTTTCTCTCGGAAAAGCGATCGTTTGCCCTCCGGCCGAGAATCTGCGCGAGTTCGGACGATGTACGCGTCTTATTCCTCGACGGCCGTACGCATTTAATGCGTGTATGCGCTGCTATCACATCGTACGATTGCAAAGTGCGTTCCATGGACTTCTGAAAGAGAAAAGATTCAACAATTCACGTGCGCTTTCATGCAATTCCCTCATACGTATAGCATTGTTAAACGCGAATTATTCTGATAATACGAAATGATTTTCGAGAGAATGGAAAATGCTTACAATAACACTGGGGGAAAAGTTTTTGGTATTTATGACTGTAAAGTGTAATTGCATAGAAAAATATTATGGTTGCGAAACTCCCCAGTTAACACTAACTAAAAGTAACATAACATTAATAATTGTTGTTGTAATTTCGTACTCAACAATGTAAGTGTTAGATATTTAACGTCATGAGTTATATTAGTTACATTATTGAGTGTGAAATTATAACAATGATGTTACATTACTTTTGGTTTTGTCGACTAAAAGTTTATTAAATTATGTAAATTTTACAGGTAGCTGTTGAAAATAATTCCTTTTATATATGTAGACCTATAAATATAATTGTTATTACTAACACATTATTATAGAAATAATTATAAAAATAGAGAGCTCCTAATCATATAATTGTTTTATAATGCAATTAAAGTCACAAATATACCAAAAAGCCTTTTCTTTTAGCGTAACATAACAGAATTCACGGTTAGTGCCTCCGTGTGACGATTATTTCGGCGCATATCGAAATTCGTCTTGAATTATTTATTATAATTATCCTCACGTTGACGTGTTGTCGCCGCTAGCAAATAGTAGTTCTCACAGCGGAACGTTTAATAGTCGGAGAAGTTTCGGCACTTGAATTATTTGCTATACGCAGCGCGGGCGCAATTACGTCGCG